TTCAACATCTACTCTAAATATTTATTGAACATCTTTAGCAATCGCATGCCCATTGAGAATCTATTGAATCTATTGTGTGCATAAAGTACTCAACATAAATTGCCGTATAAAAAAATTTGTTTACATGGTGACAACACCGACCATGCTAGAAATAGCATATACACACACACACTAAGACCACGATTGTTAGAGCGAACAAAACCATCCCAGAGGACACACGAACAATTCGAGCCTAAATTAAATAACGCATAAAAAAAAAAAAAAGGAACCATAATTATCAGAGATAATAAGAGATTGCGATGAGAAGGATGGTGTGACTTGATTGATAGGTATTTCGGATATTGAAGGGGAAATTCCTATCGCCTATATGCGGATTACTGAACGAACGATTTTTCTATTCCAATGAAACTTATGACCTGACAATGACGAATTGAGGTATATTGTTTGGGGTTCACCATCTTATCGTTCTGTTTATATCGAGCGAAACTCATTGATAGCGTTTCTCGTCGCCCATTCGTTCACGACGATAGAAATTTCTTTTGCCCAGAAGAATAGATACAGTACATGTAATTTTTTTTTTTGATTTCAGAGGAAAAAGAAAATTGCCTAAACCACATTCCCGAAGGGTCGATCTAGGTGTTAACGCGGTAGCATGTCTCGTGAAAATCTCCATTTAGGGTGCGAGTCGAGCCTTCGTTGTTATGCGACGAGCTTGCGGTAACGCCGGTGGTGACTTGTCACATGTCACATGGGTGTGCTGAGAGAGTACGTTTAGGGTGCCAGGACATCCCGTGAATGAGATTAAATATAGGAGAGTTCAAGGAATTGGCAGTGGATTGTGGACAAATTCGTGTTAGCGCATTTCCCTGTCGTAACGTTGGCTTATGTACATAAAGAACATAATCAAAGTTAGAAGGATGGGAAGGGAAGACCTGAGTTGAAAGTGGAAGAAAAAGAAAAGAAAAAACGAAAGAGAAAAAAAAAAAAAAAAAAAACGTTGAGAGAGGTGAAGAATACCCCATTGTACTAAAAAAAAATCTCTCGATGGTGAGATGTGCATTTATGCCATTGCTTATGCCAATTGTGTAAATCTTTTTTTTGTTGGAAAAACAAGTTTTTTAGCCCATGCCAGTTTATAAACAGTTACATACATTGCAGCCAAACGATGAATGTGTAGCTAGGTAATGCAAGATCGTCTTTACGTTTTTGCCCATTACATATATGGAGTTTTGAGAATAAAGAATAAAAGAAAAGATTTCCGAATGTCATCGGTCATAATAGATGAATTAAATGATTCATATGCCAAGTACATCATCCATGCTCAAAGTTGGAATTTGTTAAATTATTATGGAAAGACCCTGCCGCAAATTTGAAAAAGTAAATTACAAGATGTGTACATACAGGGAGTAAGTAATCGTCAATTCAAGAAGGTGACAAAGGGATTTGTGCGTACGTACATGACCTAAGTATGCACGATAAATTTACCGTGTCGCACACCTTTACCTTCTTTCCTCTCACCGGCACATTTTTTTGGGTCGAAATCTGCTACAAGTTATCCAATTATCGGTAATCAACAAACTTTGTTCGGCAAAAATTCATCAGCAGGCAGCAGCAACAAAATGTCCTTATTCAAAACAAACCAGTCTAGTAATGATTAAGCTGTAATTATTATTAGGTTATTTATTTTATTAGGAGCTAACAAACATATACAGAATTTTATTTGGGTGCATTCGACCGGAACACAATTCACAAGGAGCGTTCGGATGTGACCAATGCCTAATTTTGCAGACGAAGGAAATTCGTGTGTTTCGCAAAGCAATATACTGTAAATGCGTGTCAAATACTTTTACCGTGGCGCTCGAGAGACGTCCGCTTGAATCCGGGCGTCGTTGTTATGCGATCATGGACGGTCCGGGGACGGTGCGTTTTCAAGTTTACGTGCTTTAAACCAGATTCGATTAAACAACGGATAAATTTGCGCCCTTCTTGAAGAAAAGTATTAGGCTCGTGAATCTTCTTCCCAGGAGTAAATGGAAGGTCCGAATAAGGCAAAAATAAATGAGTTAGGGACCAGCAACTTGATACATCAGCAGCCCCTGGCTTTCAGGTAGGCGCGGATATCTCCGATCAAGGTGTTTTAGAGGAGGGTTCAAAGTCAAAAAAAGGAAAAATGCCAAAATCAATTATGCCGTCAGGATTTCGGTTGATTCAATCTCCCGTCTTTCCGAGGAAACTGGCGTCGTATATAGACACATCGAAGCTTTAAAGCCACCGCGCGCGCAACCACACGAGAGTGATATCGAATGTAGGAGAACACTTGGATTCCAGGGTGCTGACCGTCTGGTCAAGCCTTTGGTGGAAGCGGCTCGCGGGAAGGTCCAAAATGATATATGATGGATAGATGTCGTTTTATGTCATCACGTGTACACCAACCTCACCAACTTTTTCAAACCAATTAATTCACCGGGGGAGATTAATTTCCCCTGGTTGACACAGATGTATGCGTGTCAAAAAAACTCATTAATCAAAATAATCGATTCTTGGACAAAGCGGGTAATAATAGTTGAAAGAATAGGATCAAAAATCAACAAATATGTACACGAGAGGGAGATATTGTTGACAATATTGACAGATTGTTCGTTGCATTCTCTTTCTCGACAATTGTCTCCGCCTGTGAAATGATTATACTGGCGCACAATACTTTAAAACCACAATAAATAAAAAAATAATTCATCTGTTACATGCCATAATCCATAATATGACAGTATGATAACTTTTTTAAGAAAATGATAATAATGGGCAGCAACCGAATTATTCAAGTGACATCGTTCGCAAAAACGTGGTGATAAAGGTGTATAATAAAATCTGCGAACAATTGGTGTAATTTAGCGTCCACTGTATGAGATCATATACTGTACAGTACATTGAAGTGCGTCATGTCACCCGAGTCATGGCCAACCTTGAAAAAGATCGATTAGATCAAATGACTTGTTGAACAAATATTTAAGGTCAATGACCATATAAATATATATATATGTTTATAAAATCCCTTAATTAGGAAATTTTGTTTGAGGAGGTAATAAATTTGGTGAAAAAAAGAGAAAGTGCTATTTTTACGGAGACAAATCAAACATCACATCATTACATTAACCGGTTACCGAACAGTCCGTCAAACGAGTTCATAATGTAACAGATGCATACGTACATACATACACACACACATACATACATACATACAGTACATCCATATACATACATACATTCATACATACATTAATTGTATCAATAATCTTGACATACAAACAGATTAATTTATCAACGCATAGGCATATTAGCGTCAATTCCTACTACCGACGTACTTCTTATTGTACTTATATTAATATAATGTATCACCAAATTGACAATTTATTTGACGAGAAACATACGATCATACGTTTGCATGTAACTCGTTTTTTTTTTTTTTTTTTGTCATCTCTCACAAAGCAAATGATCTTGTTCTTTGAAGACTGAACTGGGTTCACGAGCATCAGGAGAGGCAGGAGGGATTCGATTGAGCGTCAAGAGAGATGGATGATGACACCACATCATGAAGTCGATTGATTCTTGTTACACCGAGCGGTGGATGTATT